ACACACACACACACTAACTCCCAGTCCAACCTGGGGATGGTGTCTATTGTGGAGGAAACTTGTGGCATTATCTTAAGGGGGCCGTTTGAGGCCATCCTGACAGGTAATAGCCTGTCCTCTTTTTTTCTGTAGTATTCACAGAAGAGCCAATTCCAAATCTACCTAACTGCTGGCAGCACCCCAGCCTACCCAACAGGGTTCAATCTATTTTTGAGCCTACAGAAAGGAAGATTTGAGGTGAATGGCTGGCTGGGTATGTTCACTTGCTATATCACCCATTTCATCTCAATTTATTCACCTCTCTTATTTATTGCCTTGGGGATTAGGGCTAAGGTGTAATAGTAAGGAGGTGTGTGAGTTTAGGGAAAGTTCCTCAGCCTTAATCCTACATAGCTGATTTTTAATAAAACTAGTTAAAAATTCTAGATACTAACAAAGAAAAAGAAACACACCAATATCCATTTTCTCTGCTGCCTTCCTGTTCCCAGCTTCTGAATGTTCAAATAAAAGTGACTGAATTATATGCACTGAGATGAAAAGGAGGTTTTTTATAAGTTGTTATACCCAATTTTCCAACCAGCAAATAGAAACAGAGCCCTCTGATAATAGGAACTAAAGCCCTCTGATAATAGGAACTAACACACCTATATTAGTTCCTTACAACATGTGGCTGAGGGACTCAAATTCACATCTGGGCCTCCAAACCCTACCCCTGATCTCATGATCATGTGGTCTCTCCATGAGCATCCCAAGGAGTGGAGACCTTATAGGGTTCATTGTTTGCAGGTATCCTGTGTTTCATGAAAAAACCTGTTCCCTAAACTTTCCAGTCACAGTTCAAGTTTCACACTCAGTCCCTTCATAGAATGTCACAATTTGGGGGGGAGAGACAGGAGATATAAATCCATGATAGTTTAAAAATGACCTTTAATTTGAAGTAAAAGCAATATTGTCTTAGTACAGTTAGATTAAAAGTGTACAGAGCTAATAATACCAGCTAATATTTAATGAACATTTACCATGCATAGTATTAGTTTGTTAGAGAATTCATTTTGCCACAGAAAAGTAGTACAACTGGGTAGGTTAAACAAAAGAAATCTATTTCCTAACAATTCCGGAAGCTAGAGGTCCAAGATCGAGGTGTTGACAGGATTGGTTCCTTTTGAGGGCTGAGAGAGAGTCTCTTTCATATCTCTCCTGTTTTTGGTGGTTTGCTGGCAGTCTTTGGTATTCCTTGCCTTACAGAAGCATCACTTTGATTTCTGCCTTCATTCCCACATGATGTTTTAATGACTTTATCTGCAATGACTTTGTTTCTAAAAAGGACTTTCATACATAAATTTGGCGGATTTGCACGGTTCAACCCATAACATGTACCAAGTGCATGGCACATATTTTGTAATTTTTATTCTCATGGCCTTCCAGATAGGTACTATGACTTTCTTTAGAGATAAAGAAACTGAGGCTTAAATAATGAACTAGTTGGTTCAAGATTACACAGCCAGTAAGTGACAGAAGTAGACCTTAGGACCTAGATGCCCTGATTCCAGAATCCAGAATTTTAACTACTTCATTATAGTGTCTTATCTTTCCTTATGTCCTTCCTCCACTTCTCTTTTTGGTTGCAGGGAGTTACATGCCAAAATCTGAACGTTAAAATTAGGTAAAATTTCTATGGCATCCTGACATTGCCACCTGGTGGTGTAAGCAATTAAAGCAGCCTCCAGCTTCCTGGCAGAGTTGCATCACAGGAATTGATCACAGACCTTTCCCTCTAACACAACTACACTATCAAGCAGTTATAAAATCTACTTGATCTTGTTTTAAACCAAACCAGGGCCTATAAAATAGAACAACACAAACTTTAAGACCCTGATATAAAGTTTGCTGATTAAATGTGTAACTGATCATAGAAATTTTGAAGTATTTCTTCAGTAGGGTAATAAAATGTAATAGATTCATATTTTTTGAAACCTCAAACCTGACCTTATTCTATTTCAGAAAGCTTACTCTGATGAATCATTCTTGAAATTATTTCTGCTGTCCAAATTCTGGATTAAAAAATAAGATTACTTAACAATTCACTGTTCAAAGAAAGAAAGAAAGAAGGGGCTGTGCATTGTTGCTTCTTCATCTCTGGGTATGCAGTTTCCTAGGTCTTCATCTGGTACCTCTATCTCCACCATTATGTATGTCTTAGAACAAGTTCAGAAGTCATATGAGCATGACATGCTTTATAATACTTTGTGAAAAAGTCATATTGAAATAATTTAAGTTCTGGAAGACACTATGAAGTTTTTTTGTTTGTTTGCTTTCCTAGTCTAGCTCACACAATGGGAAAAATGGGAAATCTTGGAGGAAGGAATCTTGGAATTTGCTTTGGCAGGGGGATCATCGTAGTTCCTTGTAGACTGCCAGGACTTGGCAAAAGGAAGGTTTGAGAAATATGCCTGAGCCTGGAGATAGGGTGCTGGTTGATAGCTTTATTAATGATTCATGTTTGTTTTGCATCAGAGGCTCTCAGGTGCCCTCAGTCACAACATCATAACAAACTGGTGTGTTGAACTTAGATGCAAGGAGTATTGTAACCAATATATTACCAGTGATTATAGTACCAATGCTTGCAAATGCTCTTCCTTAAAGTATTTCTAAGAGGAAAAAGTTGCAATTATAGTACAATGAACACTCCCTCAAATCATCTGAGAGTACGTTGCCAACCTGATATCCCCTCATCCCTTAATACTCTAATGTGTGTTTCCTATAGACAAGGACATTCTCTTAGATAACTGCAATACAACCATCAAAATAAAAAATTCTTATGCTATATCACTACCATTTAATCCTCAGGCTCCATTCAAGTTTTGTCATGTGTTATTTCACAGAAAATGGATCTGGTTCAGAATCAGGTAGTGCCTTTTGTTGTCATCTGTCTTTACTCTCCTTTAATCACAGCAGTTTCCCAGTCTTTCTTTGACATTTATCATTTTGAGACTTAAAGTCCACAAGCCATTTATTTTGTAGAATGTCTGTTAATTTGTTTTTGTATGATGCTTCCTTGTCAATAGGTTGTGTACTTCAGCAGAAATACCACAGATGTGATGCTGTGTTCCTTTCACATTAGATGCTATGGTTTCAATTTGCCCCATTATTGATGATCTCCACATGGATCATTTGATTAAGGTGGTGTCTACCTGCTGTGTTGCTTTGGTAATTAATGAGCATTTTGTGGGGGAGACACTTTAAACTGTAAATATCTCATTCTTCATCAAAGTTTCGATTTGCTCATTTATTATTTTATATCAAGGTGGGCTCATGATTTTCATTTTATCTGATAGGTTATATCCTATCATTATAATTATTGATTTTGATGCTGAATTATCCCAGTTAACCAGAGTGGGCCACTATAAGCAGACTTCTGTGATCTACTGATATATTCCCCTCTTTCTTAAATACTTCCTTGTTTTCTGCCAGCAGAAAAGTTCCCAAACCATTTTTTTCCACATTTTTAAACATTTAAACAATTTTTGATTAACATATAACAGCTGTACATATTTATGGGATACAGTGGGATGTTTCAATGCATGTATAAAGTATGTACTGATAAAGTAAAGGGAAATTAATATTTTCCATCTTCTTACCATTACTTTGTGTTTGAAGACTTCCAGCTCCTCTGTTGCAGTTATTCATAAAATATACAATAGGTTATTGTGAACTTTAGGCCCCTCATTATTCTGTAGAACACCAGAACTTATTACTTCTATCTAATTGTAGCTACTACCCAAGGCAAATCTTGTATTTTTCCTGGTTCCATCCTGCAATCAGCCATTTTTTCAAGAAGTTCTGGTTTCTTTTAGTGGAGAATGTACATACATAGATACATATGTGTATCTATACTTGATATAGAAAGCGAAGAGTTGAAACCCATGTTTGTAATTTTATCTAACATCATGGGGTCTAATTCTAGTCTTCTCTCTATCCCCAAGATACAGATGTCTAACTTTCTCTCATGTTGGCTTTAGGTTGTAACTATTCAGGAACAGAAAAGAAGGGAAGGGAAAGAAAAGGGCAAATAGAAAGAGCTGAAAATAATTAAAAAAAAACAAATTATAGCAAATTCTCTTTAACTCGTGTCTGATATATTTCTTTTCCCCTCTAAAATATAAGCCCTATAAATTGGAGTCAATCCATATTACTTATTGCTATATGTCTAATACCTAGCATGTCTCCCCACAAAAGTAGACATGTTTAAAATTTTTCAAATAAATGAATGAGTGAATATAGTATAAGAGAAAAAAAGAGCCTCACAGCTACCACATTTGGCAATGCATATAACATATAACTAGATTCTACAAACCTCAGCCATAAATCCAGCTGTGGGCCACATTCTAGTACAAGGCACATGGTGGGTATTCAGGAAATACTTGTGGAGTAGACAGACCACAGGGGTTATCTCAAACATACAATTCATCTGACATGTTTGTCACAATGGAGGAAAAAGGTCAGGAACTGCTATTTTGTTTTACTTATTTATTTATTTTTGTGGTGTTGGGGATCAAGTTCAGGATCTTGTGCATGCTAGGCAAGCACTCTACCTCAGCCCTAGGGGAATTACCATTTTAAATGATAATACAGGCTTACTAAATTTTTAAATAATCCTGGCCTAATGAATAAGCTGTTGTTCAATTTGAACACAGCGAACACTTAAGAGTTAGAAGATGTTTATTACATAAGTGAAGTGCAATTATTAGAAGTAGAAATGGAGTTGGATAAATATAAACTTGTACATGTGAAGAAGAAAAAAGGAAGTGAATAATTAAAATATAGGCTAAGACTTACTGTGTGTAAACAGGTAGAAGAGATCTGTGAGTCCTGACAGAGATAACACACTAATGATAAAGGGAAGATGCTAAAGAGCAAAGGGCCTGCTCTGCTCATAACTTGATTGCCTTTATAGGTTGAGAATGGCTCTTCACGAAGCCCTAAATAACTCAGCAAGACCCTGTCTCTAAATAAAATACAAAAAGGGCTGGGGATGTGGCTCAGTGGTTGAACACCTCTGATTCAATCCCTAGTACCACTGGTATTAAAAACAAAAGGCTCTACATTTCAAGTTTTGTGACATAATTAAAATAAGTTGTTAACATAATTCAGTAGCTTCTAGTTCCTAGTGGCTATGCTTCCTCCTTCCTAGGTAGCAGGAGGCCTTTTCAAACTAAAATTGTTCATTTACCTCCTCCACCTAGGAGGCATGTAAAAAACAGGTCCTACAAATTTTTCATCTGAAATATTTAGACAATTTCACATCAGTCTGAAAGAATCATTGTGCATCTATCTATTCAACAAACATTGGTTGCATACTCTGAAAGGTGCTGTCATAGGTTGCAACAAGTAGAATGCAGAGGGGCAGGTAGAGTTGCTATCCTCATGGAGTTTGCAGCCTTGTAGCAGGGGATAGTGGGGACACAGTAGAGGATAAAGAGACAGGTTTTAGAGTAACCTGTATGAGGCAAAGTGGGAATTTGGACATTTTAGAGCAATGAATTAGTCCTTCAGACGGCATGCTGCTCACTGCTTTTGCTTCAAATGTTGTAACTCCACAAAACACACTTCCAGAACAGACAGAAATAATATTTTTGTTATCCACCCTGTTCTCTGACTCACTAGGGCAGATAGTTGGACAGCGGTTACAATTCACTGCATTTGATACTGCTGATCCAGACTAGTTAATTGTCTAGTTTGGGGCTCCATATATGAGACATAATTGCTAGACTATTAAAAATAATTCCTAAGAGGGAAATGGTTAAAATGATAAGATTATTAAGTTGATAGAGAGAGGTTGCTGGTGATTTAAATAATGGCTTTCAGATTTTTGAAATGTATATGACTTACTAAATTACATGACTGATATCAGGCCTTTGGTCTCAAATCCAGAAACTTTTCTCTGGATTTGAGACCAAAAGTATTTGAAGTAGTCATATAGTCATGTCCCCCCCACCACCAAAAAAAGTAGGATTATTATCAATCTTAGTAATATGTTGATGCTATAGTAAAATGAATGTGCAAATAAGACAACGTGTATTATCAGGGCTGGGATCACAAATAAGTTTAGAAGCATAGACACAAATTTCATTTTTAGTTTTTAAAGTATTTCCAAGTTGAACATTTCTAAGTTTAGATGTCAGGAGAAAAAAAAAAAAAGGGCCCCTGAGGCCACATGCAGAGGAAGGGCTGTAGACACAGACTGACTAACATTCTGTTTCCTGCTTTTTATTTGATTTTATTTTTTGAGTAAAAAAAAAGATATGAAAATTGCTGATGGGCAGGCCAGCCTGGGGCTACTATACTTGGGCTTTGAAGAGATGCTGTAGTCTGTCTCTTTGTGATTATGTGTGCTGCTATATAGAGCAAGAAAAACAGAACCTAGAGGTGGGCTCCCCATGTTCTACAGCTACAAGCTCCATTTTTGTCAAAGTACTGTTTCTTTAACTGACAGTTGACTGACATTTATTGGGACACCACTATGTGCCAAGGTGCTTTTTAAAAAATATTTTTATTAGTTATTGATGGACCTTTATTATTTTACTTAATTGTTTATATGTGGTGCTGAGAATCAAACCCAGTGCCTCACACATGCTAGGCAAGCGCTCCACCTCTGAGCCACAATCCCAGCCCCCAAGGTGCTTTTTCATAAGGTCCAGCTGGGTGAGAAAGAGACTGGGACAAGGGATAAAGCCAGAACTTGGGAACCCAACAGGGGTTAGTGGGGATCACATGCTCACCCCCAGGACCTGATCTGAGCATTTTCATAGACATTCTGAGTACTTCCCTTTATAGAAAATAGGAGAATTTTCTTCTTATATATTTTCCATTCTTATCAGTTCAAGTTTTTTTTTTTCATGTGTCCTAGTAACCATATATTTCATTTTCTACCCATCTGCATTCCTTGCTCCTCCCCATTTGGTCAGGGGAGAACTCATAAATGTCATTGGTCACAAATCCACTTTCCACACTTGCCATAGTCACAAACCCGCTTTCTGAAGGGTTCACAGCTATGTTGTCATAGTCACAAGACATGTTGTCAGGAGTGGCTTCTCCTGAACACACCCGGAATGAAATGTTCTTCAGGTCTGGCCGGGGCTCAGCTAAATCGGCTTCACTTTGTTTTCTTATGACGTTGTAAACCTCTAGGTCTGGGCTGTGTTCTTGGTGAGGAGAGGGCCAGATGTTGTGTTTTCCTTTTATGCTAGGGTCTGCCTGTTCCCTTGTCCTGGGAGGGGGAGAAACAGGGTTGAGTATTTGAAACCAGACAATTGAGGTGCTCCCCTGAGAACATCTCTGAGCTTCCTGAAAGCAGGAGGAAGTATACCCTGGTGGCTCCTCAAAGTGTACTTCTTACTTACCAAAGCCTACAGGCCAGGGCTTTGGGGAGAGAGGAGGACAAACCAGGAAAGTGTTAAGTTCAAAGCAATTATGTATATGTCATTCACTGAGGCCAGAGAGTGGGACACAGGTTTCTATCCTGGGCACCCAGAGTCCTGGGAGGGTCCAGGGATAGAATTTGATGGGCAAAAAATGTCACTCTTTTCAAAACTCATCTATAAGTGAAACATAGCATGGCCTTCCATGATGAATATAGTTAATAAACCAGAGTAGAATTAAAAATATCTTTGACTTGATCAACAACAGGAATCATAACTATTTTCATATCATATCACAGTTATCATAGTTGCTTCATCTCAACTTCAAAATTATAATAATTATACCCATCACTAAATAAAGAGCAATTAATAAAAAGCACATGAAAATGCTGTGTCATGTATTCATTTTTGGAAATATTTTTGCTAAACAATATAAAAGTCTAATTGTTTCCTTTGCAACCCAATGTAAATTTTATGCATTTAAAAATTTTGTTCTGGGAAAAGGACCACAGGCTTCACCAGACTGCTACAGGGGTCTATGGCACAAAGAAAGGTTAAAAACCCTTGGAGAGATAGACTCAAGCATGAGTTACTATTCCCAAATCCTGGCGAGGTGCTAAATAGATAAAGAAGGGAAATGAAGAATCAACTGCAGAGTAAGCAGTTGAAAAACATATTTGTAATTTTTGAACTGAATTCTACTTTTAGATAAAAACAATCAGAATAATGGCTGACATTTTTGAGTACTTATCAGATGCCCACTCTGCATGTATTCATTGCTTTGATGCTTGTAATAAGCCCTTAAGGAAGTTGAAAAGTTGTTCATCAGAATCTTACTAATTAGTTTCAAATTGGTCATCAAAGGGAGCCAAAACTTAAATTGAACCTTTTTCTATCGTAAATGGGAATACTAGCCTTCTATGAATCTGGGAAATGATCCTGGGAAATGAAAAGGTAACTCAGAACAATTCTGTGTGCCTAAAAAATAGGGACACTGATCCTGCCTGCAAACAGAGGTTGTCTATACTATCTAGTGTTTTGAACCAATCTACTTATATGCAATCAATTTTTTAAAAGTCAGTTAAAAGGAATTTGGCTCTTTCATTCTGAACGAAGTGGCTCAGTTTCAGAGGCTTACCAGAATGCTTGGGAACAGTCATTCTTCACATGGCCTACCAGTCATTCCTTACTCAACACACTTTTGGAACCAGGACCTATATTTGTGAGAGCACTTTTGCTGGGTAATATGTGGGTACACAGAAAGTGAATAACATAGTTTCACTTTTCAAATTGTTTAAAATCTTCCACATACTCCAAAATAAAGAATGTAATATCACTCTCTTAATCTCTGAATACTCTGAGCCTGCCAGATAATTTACTCTCCAATCTACAGTGTCCATTCTCTTGGGGCTTCTGTGACTTTTAATGAAGCAAACAGGGCAATATCCAAATATTCACAACGGCAGAGGACACAAAGGTTTACATAAAGAAGGTTTTACTTGCCTCCTTCTGTAGATCCAAACCCAACATATGACTGTGGTGACCACAAGGAGGAGGAGAAGAGGAATGCTGGGGATTAGGATGTAGGCAAGATTCAAGGAAGCTTCTGAAAAGAAAAATAGCACACTATCAGCATTGGTGATTTTTTTTTTTTTTTTTGGCATGTGTGTGTGCTTCAAACCTGACTTCAAAAGGTATCATCAAGGGGCTGGGGTTGTGGCTCAGTGGTAGAGTGCTTGCCTAGCATGTATGAGGCACCAGGTTCGATCCTCAGCACCACATAAAAATAAATAAAAGAAAGGTATTGTATCTATTTACAACTAAAAATATATTTAAAAAAAATTTTAAAAAGGCATAACCAAATACAGGGTATAACCAAATATAGGGTATTCCAGAGAGCACATTCCTAGGAGGTACATGTAGAATTACCCAGTTAGTAAAGCATCTTCTAGTTTCATTAAATATTTCCTTTTTTTTTTTTTGAGAGAGAGAGAGAGAGAGAGAGAGAATTTTTTTAATATTTATTTTTTAGTTTTCGGTGGGCACACATCTTTCTTTGTATGTGGTGATGAGGATTGAACCCGGGCCGCAAGCATACCAGGCGAGCGCACTACCGCTTGAGCCACATCCCCAGCCCCTCATTAAATATTTTCTACCTGTCCTTTTTACCCTAAGTAATAATCATGAAAATAATTTTAATTTTTTGAATCTTGCAAATACTAAAAGGGTACTTTTTATAATTCAAAGTGATTATTTTTTGGAGAAAAGATATTCTTTCTTCCCTTGTCCTTCGTAGCAAAGCAGAGACTATTGGTGCAGTATTGATGCCTTGGCCTCTGAGAGCAGCCATGGTAGTTCCCAGTGTAGGGGTTGGGGAGAGGAAACAAAGAAGAATCCAGTCAAAAGTCCTGGGGTCATTATTGCAAAACAGAAGTTCACAGAGCACACAAATTAGACTTAAATGCTTCCCAACATTTCTAACTAAGACCAACTGGCTTCAGTTGGGTTCATGAGCAGCAACTATGAAATTCTCTTAGAGGTCTTCTTTTCTGTACCTTTTAGTCCTTTAAGACTTAGAACCAACAATAAGGTTTTGTGAGGAAGCAAGAATTTTAGACTAACTTCCTTCCTGTTCCCACTGATCTAAGATTCCAGCCATCCAGTGGCTATTACTGTTTTTTTTTCCCCCTGTGAAGCTGCAAACCTGACAACCATCAAAAACCAAAACCAAAATACTCCAAAATCCTCTTTAAGTACCACTATAATATCAAAGAGCAATAAAAATGCCATACACCTTTGCATAGCATTTTATTTTTTTTTCTATCACATATGACGTTTGCTGTATCATAAAAAAAATGCCCCTGGTTCCTGGGAGGGAGGGTCTAAATACTTGAATTTCCCAAGTAATAGAATTGACTTTGTTATTCATGAGCATCTTGGATGGTACTAGAGTTTATTGTAAGGACCTGTCCAAGACAGTGGTGGCAGGTATCTGTGGGGGGCTGGCCACACAAGAAAACTGGACAAGTGATTTTTGGGTGGGGGCTCTGAGCCTGATGACATCAGCCTGACCTCCTTTGGAGACTGAGTTACACCACATGACTGGTGATAAGATCTACCCCACCTAAGTAATCAATGAAACTCCTGTAAACACCCCCACACACACACCAAAGATCAGTGGAGCTTCCTGTATACATCAGTATGCCAGGAGAAGGATGATACATTCTGATTCCACTGGGAGAGAACATGGAAGGGCCCAATTAGAACTCCTTTAGACCTCACCCCCATGTTCTTTTCTTTGGCTGTATCCTAAGTAATAAAATGCCTAAGTATGTACAGTGTTTTCCTGAGTTCTGTGAGTTGTCTTAATGAATTTTTGAACTTGAGAGAGGGTTGTAGGCACCCCTGGAATTGTAGCCAATTGGTCAGAAGAGATGTGACCTGAGGATCCCTAAACTTGTGGGTAATGTTTGAAGTGAGGGCAGTTATGGACTGTGCCTTTAAGCTGTGGGGGGTGGGGGGGAGTCTGTGCCAACTCAGATGGTTAGTGTCAGAACTGCAACATTCTATTTCATTTTATGGACACAGTAATGTTCCCAGGTAGCTAAGAAAAATATTATTACTTCTATTATACAAATGATTACACTGAAGCACAGAGAACTTAAGTGTTTTTTTAAAGTTGCCCAGTAACAAAAACCCAGATTTCCTTCTTGAAACTCAGTGTGAGGGTGAGGTTGAAAGTCCATTAGCACTCCAATTTATCACTCCATTTTCTTTTACCTTTTATGATCTTTTAAAATGTTTTGGTCCATTTCCTCTATTTCAAAGATGGCTATTAATCACAGGTGTTATGTATTGTGGTGCAGGTCTTTCCGCTCTTCTGTCTCTGCATCCATTCTCTCAGTCCCAGCCCTATCCCACCTCTAGCCTAAGACCAAGGGGCTTTGTCTTCCTGCAGGTCTTTTACTTCCTGACTAGTCTGATCTCCTCAATTGTCTTATGATAGCTCTATTTGCATATTTCACTGATGAAACCTAACCTTAAATACAGTTTTGGCAAAGTCACAGATAACCGTCTAATTCCATTTTTAAGGAGCTGTGGGAAAGAACAAAATAGGGAATATAACCATATCATAAAGCAATCAAGAGAGTCTCATTGTCTGTTCTCCCCAAGTGAACTCTGTACATACCTTTACTTTCTTTAAATGTTTCTTTGGCATCTTCTTTCTGCGTTTCCTCTGGAATTGTGGGTGTTGCTGGCTCTGTTCTTTCACCTGGAGAGAGACACATGGACTTGAGAACTTGGAAAAAGGAACTTTAATGCAGATATTCTCTGAGGTCCTACCATGTGTAAAGTGAGATGTTAAATAGCAGTAGCAACCTGGCCATCGACACTTATATACATAGGAAAGTAAAGATATGAGTTTTACTGTCGTTAGGTGAGGGTCAGGCAGTAAAACAAGTGACAGGCAGCTGGCTTAATAGCCACATGGAGGAGTGAGGTGCCGAGAGGAAGGGCCAGTGACTCTCTGCTAGGACCATTCTGTTTGGCTCATTTCTTGTCTCATTAAATTAAATAATTCCCTTCCTATTGTCAATAATAATAAATAATATCTCAAACTGAATTTGCTACTGTTGTTCTTCAGTTTTGAAAGAGACAATACCAAAGAGTGAGAATAATGGACTCATCATAGCTGGATGTGGTGCATCCAAATAGTCTGAGTTAACACCAGCATCTTCTGTCAAATAATCTGGTCTAAAGAACTGATTCTAACTCAATGAAGAGGGGCTGAGTTAACTCAAATCTCAAATGACAGCCTTACCTCCAGGTCTTGTGGAAGGAGCAGTTGGTTTCTCTGCAGAAATAAAAATGAAAATAATAACAAAACTTTCTTGCCATCTGAATAAAATCAGCTAGAGTATAGCAACCATTTCCAATAAACTTTATTGTAATCAGATTATTTTCTGTTATCAGATACCAGGACTAGGTTCATTAAATCAAAAGAATTGCTTCTGCATAAAGACTAGCCTTCCCCCAGCTTTACTTAGGTGTTTTTTCTTAAAAAAGAAAACTATTCAAAAACTTTAAATATGAGAATTTCTAAATATACACCAAAGTAGAAAGTCTGTATGATGAATCCCTGTGTGCTGTGATGTAGCACCTGCTTCTATCAATGTATAGCTCATCTGATTTCAACAGAAAGCCCTACTTCCATACTTACACTCCTGAATTATTTTACAGCAATCCAAGACATTTTAGCAACTCATATTGCAGATGTTTCAGAGAGCAACAAGCACTGATTTCCAAGCAATAAAAGTGGTCAAGGGACTGGCTAGCCCCAAATCAAAAACTGGTGATTGGCCTTGAATTATTTTAAATAGTTCCAAGAACTTGGGGAAAGTGAGGTTGCACAGACAACCTATGTCAAATGTTTTGGCTTCTGACTGAACTGTTGTATTGACAATGAGTCACTTATGCTATTTAGATGCCCTGGAGTTCATAGTGACAGGGTTCTTAGGGGCAAAACTTTAGAATTCACATTCCTAAGGCTCAGATGGCAAGCTTATTCTGAAGTTTCATTCAGAAAGGACAGAAGTTTTTAATCATCTTCCTATAAGTATGTGTACATAGAGGTGAAGCAAATATATTTATTTTAAAACTCACTTATATAATGCCTACAAATGATAGAAACTATTCTAAATGTTTTATAAGAATAAGCTCAATCTCGATAATGACCTGACAAGGGAGTCAGGTTTTTGGTTTTTCTACATGAGGAAACCAAAAGTCAGGGAGATTAAATAACTTGCCCAAATTTCATAACCAATAAGTTGCTAAACTGGAATTTCAACCAATTCAAATAAAAATTAATAAATTCAAATAAAAGTTAAAATAGTAAGGAGATATAACTGCCATGCAACAGCAAATGAGAAATAATCCTGGCCCTCTAAGGAGCTTATATTTGACAAGATGGCCATAAAATATGGACATATAGGAGAATATTAATTCATGTTAATTTCATGATATTACATGGAAATACATAGTATATTCAGTGACATTTAATGATCTATTCGTATTGTTGTTCCTCCATAATTCAGTCTACTGTGCAAAATTGCAGTAAACATGGCACCTCGATGCCATGCATCTGCCATACATCTGAGTAGTGCATCTGCTATACCTTGAATGGTTTCTCTCTAGTTTTCCCTGAATATCCCTGTGCCTTTACTGTATTCCTGGAATAATCAAATATTCAGGTCTGGCTTGCATGCCATATGGCCACATTCTCAACCCTAGTTTTAGAGATGATAACTGACCCAGTCTCTTGCTACTGGGGCATGATAGGACAGAATGTCATCTTTTGGGAACCACAGAAGTGATCTTCCCCTAGTTCATCAGTTGGCTAGACAACTATATTTCCAGACTTCTTGTAAGCATATAGTGAAAGGGACAAACCTGGAAACGGGAAGTGAAAGTACTGTGGTGCTCTGGTTCTCACAGGAGGATCACCTAACCTTGAGGGGTCCTGGAAAGCTTCTCCAAGGAAATTATTTTGAAATAATTTCAGATTTATGTAAATTTATAAGAATAGTACAAAGAATTCTCATATATCCTTCACCTTATTATTTTATTATATTTCATTTGCTTAATTATTATCTGTATCAATCATCTACCTATCTCTATATGCTTATATCTATATATATATACATAGATGCTGAATTTATAATATACATATATTTATATATATACACATATGTAACTTTTTTCCAAAAAGAAAGTTTCAGACATGGTATCCCTCTACTCTTTTTTTTAAGAGAATTTTTAATATTTATTTTTTAGTTTTCGGCGGACACAACATCTTTGTTGGTATGTGGTGCTGAGGATC